AGCAGAGCCGGACTGTGCCTATCCCCCAACAGAGACTTACTGTGCCTATCCCCCAGCAGAGACTCACTGTGCCTATCCCCCCAGCAGAGCCGAACTGTGCCTATCCCCCCAGCAGAGCCGGACTGTGCCTATCCCCCAAGCAGAGACTCACTGTGCCTATCCCCCCAGCAGAGCCGGACTGCACCTACTCCACCAGCAGAGCCGGACTGTGCTTATCTCCCAGCAGAGCCGGACTGTGCCTATCCCCCAGCAGAGACTCACTGCGCCTATCCCCCCAGCAGAGCCAGACTGTGCCTATCCCCCAGCAGAGACCTCACTGTGCCTATCCCCCCAGCAGGTACGGACTGTGCCCATCCCCCAAGCAGAGACCACTGTGCTCATCCCCCAGCAGAGCCGGACTGTGCCTATCCCCCAGCAGAGCCGGACTGTGCTCATCCCCCAGCAGAGTCGGACTGTGCCTATCCCCCAAGCAGAGCAGGACTGCACCTAATACTCCACCAGCAGAGCCGGACTGTGCCCCATCTCCCAGCAGAGCCGACTGTGCCTATCCCCCAGCAGAGACCTCACTGTGCCTATCCCCAGCAGAGCCGACTGTGCCTATCCCCTGCATAGCCAGACTCATGCCTCTCCTCCCAGCAGAGCCGACTGTGCCTATCCCCCCAGCATAGCCGGATCAGCCTATCTCCCAGCAGAGCCGGACTGTGCCTATCCCAACAGAGACTTACTGTGCCTATCCTCAGCAGAGACTCACTGTGCCTATCCCCCCAGCAGACCGAACTGTGCCTATCCCCCAGCAGAGCCGGATCAGCCTATCCCCCAGCAGAGCCGGACTGTGCCTATCCCCCGTCATAGCCAGACTGCGCCTTTCCTCCCCAGCAGAGCCGGACTGTGCCTGTCCCCCCAGCAGAGCCGGACTGTGCCTATCCCCCGTCATAGCCAGACTGCGCCTTTCCTCTCCAGCAGAGCCGGACTGTGCCTGTCCCTCCAGCAGAGCCGGACTGTGCCTATCCCCCAAGCAGAGCAGGACTGCGCCTACTCCCCCAGCAGAGGTGGACTGTGCCATTCCCCCCAGCAGAGTCAGACTGCGCCTATCCTCCCAGCAGAGCCAGACTGGGCCTATCCCCCCAGCATAGCCAGACTGTGCCTATCCCCCCCAGCAGAGCCGGACTATGCCTATCCTCCAGCAGAGACTTACTGTGCCAATCCTCCCCAGCAGAGCCGGACTGCGCCTATCCCCCCAGCAGAGGCGGACTGTGCCTAATATCCCCCAGCAGAGACTCTTGTGCCTATCCCAACCAGAGACTCACTGTTGCTATCCCCAGCAGAGCCGGACTGTGCCTATCCCCCCAGCAGAGCCAGACTGTGCCTATCCCCCATCATAGCCAGACTGCGCCTTTCCTCTCCAGCAGAGCCGGACTGTGCCTGTCCCTCCAGCAGAGCCGGACTGTGCCTATCCCCCAAGCAGAGCAGGACTGCGCCTACTCCCCCAGCAGAGGTGGACTGTGCCATTCCCCCCAGCAGAGTCAGACTGCGCCTATCCTCCCAGCAGAGCCAGACTGGGCCTATCCCCCCAGCATAGCCAGACTGTGCCTATCCCCCCCAGCAGAGCCGGACTATGCCTATCCTCCAGCAGAGACTTACTGTGCCAATCCTCCCCAGCAGAGCCGGACTGCGCCTATCCCCCCAGCAGAGCTGGACTGTGCTTATCCCCCCAGCAGAGCCAGACTGTGGCTATCCCCCAAGCAGAGCAGGACTGCGCCTACTCCTCCAGCAGAGATGGACTGTGCCATTGCTCTCAGCAGAGACGGACTGCGCCTATCCCCCCAGCAGAGCCGGACTGTGCCTATCCCCCCAGCAGAGCCAGACTGTGCCTATCTCCCCAGCAGAGCCGGACTGTGCCCCCCTAGCAGAGCCGGAATGTACCTATCCCCCCAGCAGAGTCGGACTATGCCTATCCCCCCAGCAGAGCTGGACTATGCCTATCCCCCCTGCATAGTTAGACTGCGCCTATCCTCTCCAGCAGAGCCGGACTGTGCTTATCCCCCCAGCAGAGTCAGACTGTGCCTATCTCCCAAGCAGAGCAGGACTATGCCTACCCCCCCAGCAGAGCTGGACTATGCCTATCCCCCCTGCAAAGCCATACTGTGTCTATCCCCCCAGCAGAGCTGAACTGTACCTATCCCCAAGCAGAGCCGGACTGTGCCTATCCCCCCTGCATAGTTAGACTGCACCTATCCTCTCCAGCAGAGCCGGACTGTGCTTATCCCCCCAGCAGAGCCAGACTGTGGCTATCCCTCAAGCAGAGCAGGACTGCACCTACTCCCCCAGCAGAGATGGACTGTGCCATTGCCCCCAGCAGAGACGGACTGCGCCTATCCCCCCAGCAGAGCCGGACTGTGCCTATCCCCCCAGCAGAGACGGACTGTGCCTATCCCCCCCACCAGAGCAGGATTGTGTCTATGCCCCCAGCAGAGCCGGACTATGTCTATCCCCCCCAGCAGAGCCGGACTATGTCTATCCCCCCCAGCAGAGCCGGACTGGAGGGAGGGAGTGTGATTTCTGGATATGGTCGGAGGGGGGAATAATTTATTGCGATGGATGAAAGGAGGGATATAATATGGGGAATGGAAGGAGGGGAATGAACATACTGAAGAAGTAAGAGTTGGGATATGATTATGATGATGGATGGAGAGAGCGACATCATTGGGCCTTAGAAAGGGATAGGGAATGGATAAGATAAATGAATAGACACAGGTGACTGAATGTGAGGGGAGATAAATTGGGCAGGTTGAGGGATGATGTGTGTACCATGTGACCCCTGGAGAACCAATTCACCCATACACAGCGTGTCACCCACAGACAGCATGTCACCCACAGACAGCATGTCACCAATACACAGCATGTCACCCACAGACAGCATATCACCCATACACAGCATGTCACCAATACACAGCATGTCACCCACAGACAGCATATCACCCATACACAGCATGTCACCCACAGACAGCATGTCACCAATACACAGCATGTCACCCACAGACAGCATGTCACCCACAGACAGCATGTCACCAATACACAGCATGTCACCCACAGACAGCATGTCACCCACAGACAGCATGTCACCAATACACAGCATGTCACCCATACACAGCATGTCACCCACAGACAGCATGTCACCAATACACAGCATGTCACCAATACACAGCATGTCTCCCACAGACAGCATGTCACCCACAGACAGCATGTCACCCATACACAGCATGTCACCCACAGACAGCATGTCACCAATACACAGCATGTCACCCACAGCACAGCATGTCACCCACAGACAGCATGTCACCCATACACAGCATGTCACCCACAGACAGCATGTCACCCATACACAGCATGTCACCCATACACAGCATGTCACCCACAGACAGCATGTCACCCACAGACAGCATGTCACCCATACACAGCATGTCACCCACAGACAGCATGTCACCCACAGACAGCATGTCACCAATACACAGCATGTCACCCATAGGAAGCCTTCTTCGTAAACCCATCCCTGGTATAAAGGTCTATGTTTCACGGTGGCACCTTCTGCCATACGCCCTAGACAGGCTGCCCGGTTATTCAATGCAAGGCCTCCCCTAAACCGAGGGAAGTCTCCTGGCTGGGGGTTTCCTGGGAAGCTGTTCTTGGAGTGATTCCGTAAACGCCAGAGGTGGGTATTAGTGGAACGTAATGGAGCAGAGTTATTCATTACTGATCTCTCATTGAGATGAACAAGGGGGATTAGAAGGATGGCGGTGCTTCCAGAGACAGGCTGAACATATGGCGGCGAGCTAATCTTCTCAGCTCCTGTCAGGGAATAACCCTTCCTTTAATTAGCTGGTCTGGGAGTGAAGCAGGGCTGGTCCCCAGAGCTCACACTCCTCCTGCAAACAGAGTTATAGGGCGTCACCCATTAACTCTTTAAAGGAGGTCTTGTTGTGTCTGTTTTAAAGTTAAATCCAAAGAACGGACCTTTAAATTGCGTCTTCGTTTAATAGGTCCAGTAAAAAGAACGAAGAGAGATTCAGAGGGCTGTGAAGTAAGATATCCCCCAAGATAACCTCGTTAAATACTGTGCAGACCCTGAACATTCTGCAGCCTAAACCTCCCTGGGACAAAAAAGGAAAACTTACCCTATTCAATAAAACAAAGCATTGTGTTGGTGGTCCTCAGAACCCACAGAAAATCACAGAGGGTCTGAGGAAGGTTTATGGGTCTATTTTCAGGGACTGAAGGGCAAAAAGGGTACAAACAGGGTAAAGGCTCTTCCTTCCTTTCTTTTACTTTCTTTAAGAAAAAACATTCAAATCTCATCATTTTGCTTTGTTTATAAAAACAACCAGTGCGTTCAACTAAACAGAAAAACACAAAAGTAAACATTTTAAAAAAATGCATATTTTTTGCCAAAATATGCTATTATTTTACTTTGATTTCAGTTTGGTTATTGAATCCTAAAATGTCAAATTCACTTTAAAGAGAATTATCTATTAACTAAGTAACACTTTAAAAAAAGTGTAATATAAAAAAGTGAGGAATTGTTAAAAAAAAAAAATGTCACTTTTTTTATATTATGCTTTTTTAAATTGTTATTTAGTTAATAAAAGTTCTGAACATCTCATAAATAGAGCCCAGATCATTTTTGGGGAAGCTGCTCTCACCCTAGGGTACAAACATTCTAACCCCATCCTATCTAGCAGGGGGGGATTATCTCGTTACCCCTCCCTGTCTTGTCTGCTATGAATGGGACAGAAACTTTTGCCATGTGCCCATCTGCTGTGTTTTTTGATGTGTGTATAGGGAGGGCGCCTCCACCGCTCTTTTTAAAAATAATAATGTCATTGTTGCATCATTTACATAA